TTCCAACTGTGTCGCTCCGCATTCGTCCACCGTCCAGTTTCTACGTAGTGCCTCGCCGTCGATCATTCTTCATTCACTTGGCACATCGCGCACTTCACACATTTTGCTGTGCACTACACTCCACTTCACTCTTAATCGCGATGATTTTAACGACGCGCAGCGACTTGAGGATGTATTGTCCGTATAATTTGTATATATTAAATAAGAAAAAATAAAAATAAATATACAGTGTCTCACAACTACCGTAAGATATTTTAATAGCGTATTCCGAAGTAAAGTCGAAAATGCTAATACAAAAATGTCGAGGCTACAATAGTTTTTAAATTATAACCGATTAAAGATTGCCAATAATATCGCGTAAAATTCGCACGTTCAGGCCCGTTATATAGCACGCACATCGTTTTATTATTTGTTACCGACTTCACAGTTAATACTGATTTTTACTACACAGCTGATTCCTAAAAGCACACATTAATAATTATTATTGCTAGAATTATTAAATTTAATAGTTCATATTTGAGAAACAAGGATTTTATGCGTTTTTAACATGAAAAGTAAACATGGAAAATACGATTTTATACTCCTCATAAAACGTGAAAAATATAAAAATAATAAATTATTTTTCATGATTACTTTTCATATAAAAAACGCAAAAATCCTTGTTTTAAGTATAAAACTATTAAATTTAATAATTATAATAATAACAGTAATAATTATTAATGTTCTCAGGAATCAGCTGTGTAGTAAAAACTAATATTACCTGTGAAGTCGATAACAAATGATAAAACGATGTGCGTGCTATATAACTACGGGCGCGCGAATTCTACGCGATATTACTGGTTTTCTTTGATCGGTTATAATTCAAAAACTATTGTATTCTATGCAATATTACTGGTAATCTTTGATCGGTTATAATTAAAAAACTATGTTATAGCCTTGATATTTTTGTATTAGAATTTTTTATACTTTACTTTGTCTTCAGAATACGCTATTAAAATATCTTATAGTGGTTGTGAGACACCTTGTATATATATATATATATATATATATATATATATATATATATATATATATATGTATACACTCGTACACATTCACGAGTCGCTAGTCAAACAATAGCAAACAAAGATTTCACGGAGTTTTCGACAAGAAAGAAAAAAAAGAGAACGTTTCGCAGACGTTTATAGTTTGTCAACAAACGAGTTTGTTCGCATTTCGCAGGAATTCTAATTTTGAAAATAAACGATAAAAGTATGAATTTTGAATTTAACTATAATTCTAATAAATTTATTCGTGACGGATTATAGTGTCATTTAATTATACACTGGCGGTATGTCTCGCGTGTAAAAAATCGATAATAGGGAACTGTGAAATTAAAGGATAAACTGTAAAATTCGAGGATAAAATAAACGAAATAATTCGCGACGCGAATTCAAGACCAATCGCGAGATCTGTCAACGCGGTATGTAGACGAAGAATCACAAGAGTGGCGTGAGATTTTCACGTACCATGACTTTGCAACGCTTGGGCGAAGATACATTGCACAAAGACTGATATCTCTGCGAAGCACACTATTCCACGGGACATTTCTGGGATATTTCCGCGAATTTAATAAGATTCGCATCCTTCCAAAGACATAATCGCGCGCACAAACGCGAAAGTAAGTATGATGGATCGAAAATTAGAAATTACGCACGCGAGCGAGCCGTAAATAACGAAAGTTTCTACAACGAATGAAATTGTAACGCGTAAACAAACAAAATAACTTTGTTTTTATTCCCACGACTAATGTTATTTTCACGAAGAAATAGACACTCGACCGACCGTGCTATATCTCGCGCGAGGAGCACTGTACATAAAAAAAAAAAATAAATAAATAACTACAAACAAAATCTCGACGATCACGAAAGCGGCACATCTAAATTATATCGTAAACCAAATAATTATGAAACCGTAAGATTGGTACGTTGGGTTGTTTTGCTTTAGGAAAACTTACCTTCGTGATATTGAATTTAGCTTCGTTTTTCTGCACGAAACGTAATTGCGATATAAAAAAAAAGAAATTTAGGAAATTAATAATCGCAGTGATAGTAAAGTCTATTAGTGCGAGCGAAGTATTCGCTAATTCTGCGAATGATGGCGCAATTTTGATGCTCTATATATACTGTTGAAAACAATTAGATAATCATATTGAATATGAATATGAATAGTTGTATGGAATAATACATATATTTAAAACTCTATATAATAAAATTCATAATTTTAAATAATAAAAATAAATAAATAAATATATATATATATATATATATATATATATATATATATATATATATATAGTGTAAGAATTAAAGCACTGATATATATGTATATACATTTATATAATATAAATACTTGAAATCATGATTCCCTAATTGTTTTGTGCAATGGCACAAACATATGTGTACATGCAAGACACAACATAAAAAAATCTAAGTAAAGTAAATCGCATTGGCTTTAACGAGTTTCACAAATGTCCACCACCATAAATCTCTGTATTCAACACTTTTCAGTGTTTAAAGATCCATTTTTCTCACTCACCAAAATATCGCCAACTCAGGGCCGGCCACATTCCGCTCCTGAATCTAGAAAAAATAAAAAAATATGACATATAAGATTGACATAGGTTAGATTGTTTTGAAAGACGGACAGCTTTCGGCGCTCCGAGAGTCTTATTGGACAATACCGTGACACGATATGTTTAATTATTTCGTGTATCTAGGCGCTTCATGTAAACAGTGTCAATATATTTTTATTGCACTGTAATATTTAATGACTTAGTTCGCATTCAGATGAAGTATCTATTTCATTCTATATATTTTCTGCAAATACAATCAAAGATTATTTATACTTTAAGGGAATGCCATACATACATATACACATATACAGAAAAACTACCGAATAAATATTGACGTTTTTCGGCAAAGTTTACGTCGTATTGGTTGCACAGAATTACAAAAACATTTACACAATGAAAGCACGTTCAAAAATAAATTGGAGAATACGTTCAATACGTAACAAAAACAATAAAAAATTTCAAAAATGACATCTCGATTTGTCAGTTAGCATAAATATTTACCTAATACAAAAACTCAGCAGTTTGTACATATCGAATGTGTGTTTGTTGTATTCAGAAAAATTTCAAAGAACATTGCTACATCTTTTTTACAACTGAATTCAAAAGTTTACAAATGTACAAAAAGGTTGTAGGAAGCATATGTGTAATTACATTTTCCACTAAATGCGGTGAAACGCAAAGTAGCACACATTTATATAAGATCTATATGTACAAGAAATACGGAAAAAATAGCGTAGTCGTGTTAGCACTTATCTATTATATTTTTATTATTGCTTCTACGTTATCGACATTTTTGAAGTTCGTCTTAAAAGCACAATTAAATAGAGACTACGAAATATTAAACAAACGAATATAGAAAAGTGGAGAAACATAGAAGTGGAGAATATAGAAAATGGTTTACAAATTTATCTTTGATACGATTCTATATGAATCGAATCCTTTAATATTGACAGGTTGTCGTATCAAGAAATAAAGAATGACTTAAATCGAAGCAGTCGATCCGCATCGTACGAAAAAGACAACAATAGATCTGTTCATTTTAGCTGAACTAGTACACTGCACTGAAACCTCTTCTTTCAACACTAGTTGCATTCCAAAATGTCCTTTTTGTTGAAAATTTTTCTCAAAAATGACGTTTTGAAACGCAATGTAGGTAACATATTTGTTTCACTCTAATAGTGAAAAGTGCACTTTTAAATTTAGCTAAAAAGAACAGACCTGTATACTTTTCTTTACATAGGAAACGTCGAAAATAAGCAAAGCATCGTCTATTGATTATTATAGACGAGTGATAATGATTAGACCCGAATTATCACAATGGAACTAACTTCGCACAGTTCCTCAACAATGTTATCGAAACCGTCACGTTGTCACTGCTGCGACAACAGATGGACAAGTATTTTATTACAAGTTACACAAGAAAGAAGGGAAAAGCAAGGTTTATTTCGTTATACGCATCGCCGAGGGTGAAGAAGAAGGTGAGAAGACGCGGCGAGGTAAAAAGAGCCAGGAGGAATTTAATTTGGTCGAATTCTCCTACATTTATTACGGAGACCGTAGAGCGACGACGCCGGGAGTCGCATTCGCCGACGTGGACGTCGATCGGCGCGGCGATGGCGAGCCGCGACTAGGAACTCGGCGGCGCAACGTCCGACGCCCGACGCAACCTGGATGCTGTCGAGTAGCAGCGCAACGGCAGCCGGTGCAGCCCGGGCTTATTTGAATTCCAGATTGGATTATCCATCGGATTTGGATAATTGAAGGGATTCTATCAGTTACTGGTCCGCCCTGGGGTGGGATTAGACGCGCAGATGGAGAATCCGCACGCCTAGCGCGGCGCCAAGGAATTCCGCTGTTTCCGGCCGAGCGAATCGTATCAAGCATCCGGCCTTGTTGCTTAAGGACAGCTTGAAAGACTCGAGACGAACGGGGAGAAAAGTGGGAAAAGAGAGAGAGAGAGAGAGGGAGAGGGAGAGAGAAAAGAAGGGAGAGAGGAATTGCACGAGAGAAGATATGGTTATGATTCTGGAAACTGTATCTTAAGTTTGCAGTCCAACAATCGTGCAAAACACCGACCTAATTCCCGTGCTGTGCGCACATACGAGCATAAATATTCACCTCTGTGAGATATTCACGAGCCTTTCCGGTCGTAAAAGTCTCTCTTCTACCTTTCTGTGTCAACTTGCCGGCTGCTGCATATCTATTCGCGCGGAGAATTATTCTCCTCTGGTTGGACTGAAAAACACCAGAAACTCGTTTAGAATTAGATTCCGATCGATTTGCAATACCGCAGGTGGCTTAAATAACGCCGGTTTCATCGACCACCACTGTCGACGATGGAAATAAAAATCGACGTGAGATAAAATGTGTGGTCTTTCTGTTGCAGCTTCCGGCGTTAAACAGAATGGCGACGCCATCGACAGCTTAAAGGACGAGATGAACGGCCGCAGAAGTTCATTGGTGCAATATCCCGACAATCTGAACTTCGCCGACCTTTACTACTTTATCTTCGCGCCCACCCTGTGCTACGAGCTGAACTTTCCCAGGACACAGAGGATCCGAAAGAGGTGAATGAATTAAAGTCTCGATTTATACACGTCGGGAGATTAGGGACAGATCTACGAGCGATTTCGAATGCACAAGTTTCCGCGATTAGTGTGTTTTCGACAGCAACGCTGGCATTACGGGATCGCGGGGCATAATGGGATATCATCTATAACTTTTTCGAGAGGTGCTGCAATGAAATGTTTTGCAGTTATTATTGTTAGATGTCTCTTACTATATATACGTGCTATCATCAGTCGTCATATTTTCAACTGATGCTAGATGTTGCGTTTATGCGTTCGCTACATTCTTTGCAACTGCGTTGCAATTTTTTGGTACATTTGTATAAGGTAAACAATGATAAAAAGTTCGATTTTTTATAAACCACCTATTACATTTAAACGTACCAATTATTGATTGTCGTCAAAATTTTAGTAAGAAAATAAGAGAAAATAGGAGAAAGGTATAGTGTTTTATCGTTTTATATGTGTTGCCAATAAATAATGAATTCAACATGCAATAATACATTTTTATATATTGCGTGTCTTAATAAGACACTTTGAAGAACTTTCCGAAATTAATCATTGGGATAAAAATAAATTTTGCGAAATACCTTATCTTGCTCCGCGTAGAAAACACAATGAGTGATTGAGTGATGTTTCTAAGAAAACACATATAATAAATTCGTCTTTTTTAACTATTCTTTCAGTAAAACTTGTATTTTTCTTATAGTAGACATCTAAAAAAACGTTTTGATACAATATAAAGTTGATTTATTTTGTTCTTTTTTTAATGTATTTAATATTTACGTTACAATTTCTATTGTGCCTTAGGTTCCCCTGCGTGTTTTTGGACAATTAAACTTCTTTTCAATCATGACATACCAGGTCACGATCGACTTTCGTTTGCTAGCGATCGGTTACGCACGATCGATCTTCCTGTACCTTGTTCATTCGACTTTTCCCTACAGTCATATTTCTGTTTACATGTGTTTCGAGAATCCCACCTGGTCCGCTCCGATCGGGAAGCATCTCAAGTGGAAACTTGATATTGTCTGACTTTGGTCACGCGAGTGTATGCATTGCGTGAGGCGTATAAATCCGTGTTTGCTCTCAGATTTCTCGTATAGATTTCACCATGGTGTGCCGCCGCGATTCTTTCACGTCTTATTTTCTTTTCGTAAAGAATGTCAACAGATGCCAGAGTCACCGGTTTACGAAACTCAGACGCCCACGAACAAATTCTGTTTCGGGGAGAAAATTTCGCTAGGGAAGAACATTCTTCCTTACGTCTGACTTTGTTGGAGAACGCGAATTATCTATGCAAGCTTTATGCGAAAATTCCATTTTGTAGCTCGCTACAACTCAGTATACACGGGATATAATTTAAACGTTTCTCCATGCACGCACGATTCGCAGTTATAACTGATCATTAAAAATACGACACAAGTCCACATTAGTCTGCATCATTAATCCACAAAAGATTTCTTTATTAATCTACCAGGTCCAATACAGAGAAAATTAATCGCAATTGATTACAATGTACCTTTTAATACGCACCAACGCAAATTATTATATGAAATATCTCGATAATCAACTCTCTTATTGAATATACATGTATTATTAAATTCCAGTCTGTATTATTTGTTTGATGTTGGATATTGATCTAACAAGATGTTAATTATTGCTTCATTGTCATTTATCTTGAAAATGTATGTTTGGCGTTTGAGTTCTTATATTTAATGTGCCCGTTTAAGCACAACAGGCACATGAGGTGAAATCTTTCTTCGAGTTCGTCCGTTCTTCCGACTGTATCGACGCCCTTACCGGTTTTCATAGTGCGCTTTCGCCCTTTTGTGCACTGTTACGCCTGCCGTGCAGCCGCTTCGTCGAAAAGTGCATCCAGACTGTTCAGCTTTTCTTGTCGCCGGCAGTTTGCCGGAAACGAAACTCGGGCGGACGACGTACCGTCGAATGGGAACGTCGTTTCACGCGACGCTACTCAAAAGTCGTATTTTCGATTTTTCCAGAACCGGTTTACGGCCGAGAAGGGAGGGTAACGAGGACGGGGGGTGGAAATTCGTGGGATCGGCCGGAAATCGGTTTGCGTCGTCGATGAAATCTCTCAGCAAATACATGTATACGAATGGCGTGTAATGATCGATGTAATAGAATCAAATATAGAAGCGAATTAGGTCAGTCGGTCAATAAATCTGATAAAATGTACACCCCAATACATCTACATTGGACTGGCAGGAGCGTGCATTCAAAATAACACAAAAATATAATTTAAAATATGTTCTCTTTTTAATGACATTCCTACGTGACACTCTGTTGAAATGCACAAATTATACCAGAGCTTGGTCCGTAATTTAAGCGCGAGACGAAAATTCAATTAAATTATTGACAATTTCAAGAATTTTTTAGCTTACACCGGAGATATAATCGTTAAATTTAAATATTTTCTGTAAAATCGCAACAGAAAAACTGGCACGCGTACACGAGTGTCGTCTGATTTGCAGGTTCCTCATAAAACGGATAGTGGAGGTCGTCGTGGGATTGCAAGTAGTGATGTCGCTCTTTCAACAGTGGATGATACCTTCCGTGAAGAATTCATTAATCCCCTTCAGCGTAAGTATTTCATCACATTCTGCATTACCCCGATAATTCAAATCATTTTTCTCCCTTAATTCACGAAATCATTCAACGTATATGAATACGTGCGCGTTTTATGCACAGTTTCTTCTTGAGAAAATCAATTTCGTCCGCAACGTATCATTCCTTATACCTGCTATTTTCTAACTATTCTCGAATAGTTGAATTACGATATATGGATTTCTCGACCAATATTTTGGCCTCTATTACGAGAGCTAATTATTTATCGCGGTGGTCATAAATAAATCGGGCTAACCACGAGAGCGAAACGGCTGGCAAGAGATAGGAGCTAGGAGAAGAGTAGAAGTCTAATTTGGTTTCGGCAAATAGGTACGATCAATCTCTCGAGTAATGCCCGGAAATTCGATATACACAGATATACGACAAATTCTGCACAGGCCGCAACAGCCCCGTCTCCGTTCTACCAAATTCTCTCGTGATAAAATATGCAGGAAAAAGGTAGTTGCGCTGTACGCGAGTGCGCCACAGACGTAATGTTGTTCCATGCTACACCTGTAGGCAATATATCTGCTCGCAATATAACGCGTTGCATAATATCACGGAGGTGTGATGCAAATTACATTTCTTAAAATGCTAAACAGATGCGGAAGGAAGGGAGCTAAGAGTTTCAGCGATATGTACCTAGCATATTTTTTATCGCTTACGTTCTCTTGGAAGTGTCACTGGTACATTTCACGATGTTAATAACTTTGTCGCAAGAATTCCTGATGTACGCGTGCATTGCGCCAACAACGGATCTGCAAAACGTTTTCGGCGAATGCGAGATGTATATGCCATTTATTTTCGCGGTAATACAGCGGTCTCGGTGAAAAGTAAGAGGAGAGGGGTAAACGTTAACGGTACGTCGCGTTTTTCTCGTTGGCGCCGCGCTAATGCTCGAGGCACGCCATCAGTTTTTATCTCGTACGGAGTTAAATCCTCCACCTTGATTTGATAATTATAGTCGACATTGCGAGAGGATGGTGCGATCGATACTTTTGTTACAAACATATTTGCCGCCACGTCTACTCGTAGCTGAACGATATTTAAGTAATACGGCGCTCCAGATAAATAATTAATTCATATTTGCAAAATTTAATCTTATTATTTACTGCAACAGTTCTTTTTTCATCAACAATATTACACTATTTTCACGCTAAAGTCTCGAGTGCTTCATCACACGAGGCATGCATACGCAATTGGACGTGACGATCTGTTGTGTACATGAAAGAAAAAACATTAGTAAAAATTAGTAAATATTTATTTGGTGGGAAATGGGGACTATATTAACAGAGCATATTTACTTAAATCTAAATTTTTTTATTTAAATAGAATGAATTAATTACTTTTATAAAAAGTCTTCTTACAGAGTTTTAAGCTTATACTTTATTATTTGGAAAATATTTTATATTAGTATAAATAAATATACCGTTAGTGCTCACACACTAATAAATATCTATTTCTTAGATATTTTTTTTCTAAGTGCAATAATGACATTTTCCTGAATAACTAAGCCAAACAAAGAATACTTCCTTTCATATAATTAATTTCATACGATACGTTATAAAATGTACACGTTATATCACATGAAGAGAGAGAACTCTCTCTCTTTTCTCTCTAATTTAATTTTTATTACATTTTTCGCGAAAAAAAGAATATATATATATATATATATATATATATATATATATAT